AACTTTTTTAAAAATTAAGTTTTATGCTATTTAACTATCCATTTTGTTTTTATAAAATTTAATTTTAAAACTGTAATTTTAAATTGGAGATAGGGTTATCAGAGATATGTTCTTGTCCGTAAGGTATCAAATACAAATGATTTGCTGAAGACATAATACTAAATGCTAACAAAATGATGCAACAAATGATCTGACGAAATGAGTGAACCCTAAAAATATAAAATTGTTTATATTTTGAGCTATGTTTATCAGGAATGCACGAGCAATCAGTGTTTGGGTATAGCATTAGTAATAGAATGCTACCAGGAATTATGTAAGATAAAATTTTCAAATTGTAAATTCATTATCTTATTTAATTAAAAAGAAATATTGTTAAAATTAGTATTACTTAAATAATACATTTACAGTGCGTTTCGTTCCACTCCTTTTATTTCTAAAAGGCAATTTCTCTTTACATGTATGTGTCAGAATGTTAATGGAAGAGTACAGAAATAAGAAATATTGACAGGTACGAGAGGTTTGGTAACTATAGGATAACTGATCTGATACTTACTGGTGATATCACTCTAAGAATATAATACGCCATGAGCTTGTCTTCTTGTGAAAGCCTTCTTTGACACCTCAATAAGACCTTTAACAAATAAATTTATTTTTCTATTATCTCTGGAATCATGTCCTAACCGTGGTAGGCATTTTGCAGTTGTCGGTGCTTTACAATATACAGTAAGTGAGGCCTTGCAAAATACCGGAAGCCTTGTGCGAAAGATATTTATAGGCCTATATTTTATTTTAAGATTTATCAGATCCATATCATTTTGCAACATTTTTAGGAATCAGAAAGCTCACAAATATTATTGAAAATCAGACAATTGGAAAGAATCTATGTCCTTACTGGTACGTTGGCCAAAAAGCTGAGCCCAGTTATAACTTTATGAGCTATGTGCCTTACAATGCTTTAAGTCTAAAAATAAAGTGGTTTTATTAATTATTGAACATCAAATACCTCTAGGATTTTAAATTTCAGTCATAAATTTTGAGAATGAATCCTCTATTGTCTTGATCAATATCAGGACGTCTCTGTAAGTCACCTTTTTATTTTCAGAAATACTGAATTTCACTATTTTAAGAAGGGCATGTATTCATGACAATATTTTGCAGCATGATCCTTGATTTAAGCACTTTATAGAATACTACGACTGGTGGGGCCTTCTCAACACAATTAGCCCTAGACATTTGCAGTTTGGATGTGTTTAATGACGTGGATGTTGCTCCTTATTTGACAAGAAATTTACGTCCCATTTTCAAGAACTTGAAAGGTCTGGATTGCCTTGCTTCTTCAATGGCAACACTGACGTGGTTTGGAACATGAATGTCAAATATGAAGACACAAATAATTTTAACAAATTTCAACTTAGAACGTACGTAGGTTGAAGCGATTTTGCTGCAATCACATTACAACTAGATTGATACGAATTTTCACTACGCCTCTTTTACGCATTAAAAGCCTTTTGCATCTTACATTTCCTAATTCTTTGCGAAATTCAATAGACGCCCCACTCCATATTCCACTCAAAAGCAGTTGAGGAAAAATGTCATCCTTCACGACGGTACATCCTCAAGCCACATAAATACAATGAATAGAGATCGCTGCAAAGCACATAGCTCTTTTAGAAAAGCATATATGCTTCGATAAAGAACCAGATCCATCACTAGATATTACAATTACTTCGAAGATGTTGGAACATCGCTCTTTTAACAGTATTAGCGCCGAGATATGTAATATTTAAATAACTAAACCTTCGATTCGAAAATTTGGGTACTTCGCTCCTTTGGCTGTGCAAGGCCACAATTAAGGCCTATTCCGGAAGAAAGGCATTTAGGGTACCATAGTATTGTGTGACCTTCTTTTAGAATAAACCCCTAATTATACTCCGATCTCAATTGTTTAGTTGTAGAACTGAAATTTTTCTAGTCCGTAGGAGAGTGAGAGGTGAGTTGTTTTTGTTTTAATTACACAGAATACTTCTCATCCTCTGTTGGCTTCTCGTCTGATCGATCAATTCCATAATCTGGTAGAAATAGTTTTATGGAGTAATGTACATGAAATTCAGATATGCTATGTCAGTGTTGTTGTTGTGGAGAAAGTGTGTTATTTAAATTATTTTATTGTTAATTCCATTGGTATTTCAATTGAGTATTGGGTGTTTTTATAGTACTTTACCTGGATGATTAGAATTTATAAATTCTGCAAATGATATTTGTATGCTATTGTTCATGGAGTGAATTAATTAATGAATATACAAAGTTCACTATGTGGTAATAGTGTGTAACAGTGTTAATGAAAGTGCTGGATGGCATTTCGTTTTGGTATTTGGGTTTTGTAATAATGTGTAGTGGGATGGAAGTTGTTTTTGTTATTTTGAATGATTAAATACTATTTAAACTTAGGATTGTTCAAGAGTTTGTTAATGTTTCCTTTTTATGATGAGTTATTCTGATGATTTTTTCTTTTTTAATTTTTTTAAAATAATAAAAACAATATTAATTAATTTTATTCATTTTCACGTGTTAACAAATACATCATAAAATGAGCACTGTTCATTTCTAATGCCAGCTTTGTATTCTCTGTCAATGTTTGCACTGTATGAGTAATTTTTTTTGGACATCTTACTGAGGAGTAACTATCTGTGTAAAATGCACAAAATATCGTGATTATAGTTATCTGAATGCCAAAAACCGATACATTTTTGTCCACGGATATGTTCATTTGAGTTTCTTCTTTTTTTATGTAAAGTCTTTGCGATGAGAATCGTGTTTAATACTTACGAGTAATATTTGTTTACAATATGTGTTTTTCGGTTGAATTGTACCGCCATTACTGTAGAGTGAATGCCTTCCAACAGTCTTGTTATATTAGATGACGTTTTTAAAACTATCAAAATATTTTGATGTCGGTTATATGAACTGGTGAATGATTTTAATACTACTAAATAACTGGAGTTGGCAAGAATTTTATAGAAATGGATATTTCCTCACATTATGATAAAATATTAATACTTTACAGAAATCAGAAGTTAAATCGACATCATTTTATTGCTTGCTATTTTTTAGCTCAGCTATGGAGTTTAGGGTTACACTTACACAAAAGAGTTTATATTATCTACTTCTTAACAGTTATTGAAGGTAATCTGTCAGTTTTTAAGGTTTGTGTTAATTGCCTCCTGTCAGTGTAATTGTATCGGTTATCTTAATTGTTGGTTTCCTGGTTTCTAAAGTTTTTTTGTCGATCATATTTGCAGTATTCTCGTCTACTGATCTTTTCCTTTTCTTGGTCTGACCTCACGCTTTTGTTGGTAGTCGAGGTTGGTGCGTTCCTATTTAAGTTGAATCTTGGTATGTTCATTGCATTTCGCTTGAAGATATTTCCATGTCGAGTATTCCTTGCTGGCAATTTACCTGATTACGTGATTTTCCTTCACTGAATAGTGAGATTCGGCGCCGACCTACCGTTATCTAGCTATGTTTCCCCTACCAGGTATCTCCCAGCAACTGGACACCGCCACCGCCACAATCTCTAAGCTTCCAACCGGGCTCCCGCCACATGGTGTAGTGCATGTAAGTGTGTGTGTAGAATTCTCCAGACAGCGACAGGACTCGCTAACTAGCTAGGTCGAAAATCCTGCCACCGTCTGGACTCAAACCAAGGCCCTTCCGGTCAGAGGCACTGCGGTGACATCTATTGATGCTTTGCCCCTCTCCAGGCATCTAAAATTATTGTTGTATATTATTTGTTGCACTAGGTGGTCAGTATTTGTTTAACTTTTAGTTAACTCTAACACTTAGAGTCTATATCGTACCATTTTGAATCCATCTCTTAGGTGATTTGTCGGTAACGGGTGGTGTTTTGACCTTAGAAGCTCTCCGTATTAATGACGTTTCAGATGATGGAAATGAACAGTTTTAAACCTTTTAATAGTAATTTGTCAGTTGACAAATAGTTTATAATCAGTAGCAGTATTAATACTGTCATATTTTTCTTTAAAGTAGATTAAATGCATTCTCAACACTGAGTCTTGTTATTTGATTGTTAATAAGCTATATATTAATTAATATTGTAATTAATAGTATTACTATTACAATCTTATTCATTACAAGAAATTTGACGCATTAAACCTTAAAGGAACTTGCGATGGATACGATAATAATATGCAATGCACTATATCATAAATCCTAGAAATTGATTCAAACGGTAAATTTTTCAGTTCTTGAAAAAATAAATATGTTTGAATCAAATAATTGGGCAATAAACCGTACCTTTTTCAAACTTTTACAAATTTGTAATATATTCCTTCAAAACTCCATACAAAAGGGAAAATAAATAAATACATATCCAAATGTATGCTGTTACATTCAGCAATATAACACATGAACGTTAAAGTTTCAATATTTAAATGAAATATGTTGAGTATTATTGTTATCTCAGTTATATTAAATTTTATACACGTCGTGTTTTTATTTAAATTTACAAAAATTGAAGGTAGGCATAGATGTATATTAGGAAAGAGTCAAACCATGTATTAACTTGGAGTTGCAATTAGACCATTTCTATAACATTATTTCAATACAAAACTGTTATCTTTCGTAAAATTGAAAAATTGTCAAAATTGAATCTAATCTCTAATTTCGAACGTTTTTGCAAGATTAACGTCGTAGTCATCTGTTACGAACTGAAAGTATGATATAAACAGAATTAAAGTAGCTTCTTGCTTTTACATGATAATAGCAAATTTTAATATTCAAAAATCAATTATTTGAAAATACAACATTAGGATTGTGTTGTTGTGCTCGTGCTTCAGTACGCACAACTGAGAACGCACTGTATGAGAATCGATTCAAACTGAGTTCATTTTAAACTCTGCGAGTGCTGGCAGGTGTAATCGGCGCCAGAATAACAAAAGCCTGGGTAACCTACTGTCGAACGTCAGGCGCAGTGATTCACGATGCCAGCTGCGACTGAGGAACGGTGTGCTGCCAAGGCCGTGGGGTTGTTAGGGCCGAAGGGTGGGGGGAGGCGATCAGCTGGAGCCGCAAGGTCAGTACTCCCGCGCGGGCTCAAGGCCCCAGGGACCACCTCCGTCCCCTCCCCTCCCTTCCCCTCTCCCTCCCCTTGCCACATTGATTGGTTTTCCATCAGGCGGTCAGCGGGACGAGCGATCCAAGCAGCTCCAGCCGGCAACACGCAGGAGGCCCACGGCGGTAGTTAGAATTCTTGCCTCTTGTGATCTGGGATTGGCAAGCAAAATAAATGTGTCCGCTCCAAATACAGTGTCGATGACGAACACCTTAAGGTAGTTCTAAATGTCAGTCTTTTTTTGGCTCTCATTAGTAAACTTTCGTGTCAGGATTTCCTCCCATCAAATGTCTATTAATGGTCTAAAATCAGGAGCGCTTTGACGAAAAAACGTGATTTTTTTTTCCTCAATGGATTGGCGGTTGTCTAATTTCTGAAATCAAATTTGAAATATTTCTCCCAACAACGAATTTTTTAAATTTGTAACAGAGAATTCGCATTCCGCAAGTATAATATGTATCAATAATATTTTACCTACTAATTACAATTTATTCATATTTTGCGGAATTGAATTTATATTACTGAACGTTTCTGTACATTAAGGAAAAAGAACTGTTTGTAGTAGTTGTTGCAAATGCTTTGCACACTATAGATAATGATTTTAGGTAAATAAGTGTGTTCGTCACTGCTGTGATGTCAACTTATTTGCATTTTCAATGGTAGTAAACGATGGAATATTACGAGATATATCTTGATTTTTCCAAAATATTACTAATGCGATTTATGCAAATATATTATTAGTACCAGATAAGAAAGAAATGAACGAATTGGTAATGCATGAATAATTTTAATTTACTATAAGTGTTTTTACTTTGTAATTATTCCCCAAATACTTTATGTGTAGTTTTAATGTATAAACTCGAAATTATTTTTGTTTCAAGCAGGAAATTTTTCATTTTCCTCTTGCGTAGTAAAACAACAGATGCAAATATATTTGCAAAGCATTATATTCAAGAATTCAAGCAAAATATCGTGTTTTTTATAAGGTAATTAATTGTTATTTAGCATGCTGAACCGAAAAGTTAACATATAATTTTATTATTATAAATTTAAGAATATAGGATTATAAAATATTGAAAGTCACTATTCTGGCAACTAATAGAACAAACATTTTTGTTTAGAATTTTGAAGTTATATTCAAACCCTTTATCTCAAGTTATGAAATTAAACACTTCATATGCAGTATATAAAGTAATGATAAAGGTAAATGGATTCCTGAGACACTAGAGAAACTTTAAGGGAGATACTCAGTGTCACAACTTCTGCAACTTTGACAAAGATGAGATTCGCTACGATTAATTTTGATGATTTATACAAACAATTAAAGCAGATCAAACAAATTTCTTTCAGGCTTTCATTGAAGAAAAAAATTGAAGCAAGAATTAATTTCGTATGAGACGTATGATTGAAAACAGAGATGCTTATTTTTCCTCAGCTCTAGGAATAGCTTCCTTTAGAACGGACACAGAACGGAGCCAGAGCTTCGAAAGGCGCGGTCGCGTCTCGGAGTGACGCTGCGCGCCGGGCCATGTGCCTCGTGGCTGCGTGCGAGAGCCGTTTCGTGCGTGCGTGCGTGCGTGCGGGCGGGCTGCCGCGACGCCAGCGCGCCGCGAGGAGGGGACATTCGCGCGCTCCCATTGGCTGGAGGGCCGCCGGGCGGGCGAACAGCCGCGAAGCGCGCGCCCCACCCTCCGCCGCCGCCGCCCGCGCTTGTCGCCACCGCCTCCGCTGCCGCCGGCGATCGCTGGACCGCCCTGCCCTGCCCTGCCCTGCCTTGCCCTGCCCTGCCGCGTTGCGCCGTGCACGGTGCCCATAGTTTGCGAGAGTGGGACTTGCTTCTCATGATCTTTGGCAAACTGTTCAGTTCAAAAGTTGAAGTTCGAAGCAGATTTGCGGTATTTCTGAATTAATCGCTTTTATATTTATTAGATTGAAAAAAGAGTCTGATGTTGGGATATGTGTTACCTTTGAACTTCGTAAGTGGAATAAAAGATAAAATAAACTCCTGCGCAAAATTTACAGATTTATATTTCATTGCAAGGATCTCAAGGAAATATTTTAATAATAATAAATGTTATTGACACATTTATTAAAACGTTTGATTGAATAAGTAAAGACCATCTGATTTCATGAACTGTGTCACTATTAATCAAACATAGAATACAAAGTATTGTATTATTGAAAAGAATTTCATCCACAGTAATTAAATCATTTAAACATGTTGAAAATGATGTTGTTCTTATACGGATTTAATTATTTTGTTTCACTCACATATATTACCCACATATATTTCATTCTTGATCGTCAGTTTAATTTTTTCTTCCTAATTCACATTCCTTTATTCTCTTTGTAATTAATAAAGTATTGTTCAATACTCGGTTTCATGTGTTCATGATCTTACTGTTCCAACTTATTCTTGTAAAAAGAGCGTCGTTTATAGAAACAAGTTATAACAATTTAATAATCAATATTGATTCAAATTAATAAAATGTCACGTTAAGTTAACGATAACATTCTTGACAAAATGAGAAAGAAATCATTCTTCAAAATCGCGGTCATTTCAGGTACGCGCTCAATTGTTCAAAACATCACAATCGGAACAGACACTCCACTTCAAATTAAGTAGTACATTGTCTGAAGTACAAGTCCCTTGCATTAATACATCATTGTTAAGGATAGAAATTACATACCTTACCGTTCAGAGTTACAGATAAGCCGTTGCTTTCACAGTTACATATAGTTTATGGCATTATAATGCACTTTCCCGTCTGTTGTTCACCGCACGTGTTGGTGGAGTGTGACTTCTTTCCCGCTAGGTGCCGCAAGCAAAACCAGCTCGCGGTGCGTTCATTGCCGTTTGGCCATGTGACTTGTGTGGATGTGCCTGGGGCCGCAGCTTCGCGTTGGCCACCGCCTGCCAGTTTTCAACCAGTGACAGTTTGTGTATACACAAACACGCGTTATAAGGAACTATTTTTCATGGCTTCTTCCTCGATGTGAATGCGTTTGGTAAGTTAACGTGAAACTGATTCAACTATTCACATCATCTGTTAAATATAATGTTTCTTCATTGATTGCCGTTATTTTTTATAAACAATTGTTTTTAATTTGAAATTAAGTATATGTGTATATAAATATTTCTTTGAGAAATCTAATGAAGTGTTTCAGAAAGTTGTCTTGTGTCCAAATAGACCTAGCAATGCAATTGAATATTTCAAGTTAAAATAATTTGATCTGTAGTTATACAGCGAAAAATCTCTTCACGAGTCGCGGCCAGTTGTTTAATACGTGTGGAATTCCTACTCGTGACTCTTGCGGGATAGTTCTAAGAATATTTGAAAGTATTTTTATACTACTACTTAACTACTACCTGATACAGTTGTTTCAACTGCATCTTTTTTGCACGTTTTTGCGTGAATTTTCAGAACCTCCCCCCCCCCTTTTACGACCATAATTTGCACCTTAAACTCTTTTTTCCTTTGTGATCATGTAAAGTGTGACTGCATTAACAGAGTATAATTGTTTACAATTTAGCAATAGTGTACGTTTCTGAACCAATGACGAGTACAATTGGGATTAACTATCAACTGAAAACTTTTTGTTATTAACTCAAGCAATGAATAATTTAGCAAATTGATGTAAAAAGAAAACTATGTTCAAACATTATTGGAACAATTGGAACATCAGTCAAGAAAGCAAATACTAAGTATTTTTGTTGTAATCTATTAGAGAACTAATTTTAACTGACGACGGAACTTACTCTTGCCTACTGTAGTCGTCATTTCAAGTTTACACTGGAAGAACAACTTCATATGCTCTTTGAAGTTCATGAAAGAGTTTTTAACTTCTCTTTCCACTTCATTACAAAATTATCAGTGGAGGAATATTTTCGAAATTGCAGCCAAATGATTAGACATTGTTTTATATGGTTTTAGTTATCTTGAAAGAACACGAATGCAATATTTTTGAACTTTTTGAACTTTCCAGCTGATTAACTTTAAAAATGATACAATAAATTCGTATATACATTCTCAGAACTCCAGTAAAACGTACTCATTGAGACCAAACATCCCTACATCGTGAAGCGTTTAATGCACCTGAAAATATAACAGTAAATTCTGGTCTTTAAGATACTTCACTGAATTTCTCTGCACAGCATTATTTTTTCCGTTCGCGAGTTTTAGAGTTTTGCTCAACGCCACTCCCTTGACCTTGCGGGAGAATGGTTTATTTTCGTTGTGGCCTTGACACGCGATCTCTCCAACACTCGAATGTCTAGCTGCTAGTGGACCAACCCTCGTGTCTCCCCGTGCTCGGACGTTGCGAAGTGAGTTAGTAACTACAAATAAAGAATTTTCAGTAAATAAAGTAATCTCGTGTTGAAAACATATATAAACAACCTCCTGCAAGGAGTAATAGTTTTGCATGCCTCGGAGCTTCAAACTAAAAGCTTTTAACGGACCTGATGCACGTTATTAAATATGTGTGGCCTACAGGGTACAGATTCAAAACTGTACGCATTATGCAATTTTAGAATAACGATAATTTACGCTGGTTTATATTAAATGCCAATTGTGATAAATGATTTGTTAAAAGCTTAATTATGAAAGTAAAGTTGTTCTGAAAAATCACATTGGGCTAGTAATCTGGGAACTACTCACAGTTGTCGAAAACCTGACCAACCAGAGGGAATGCGCGGCGTGTCGAAACTTTTCTTCGTATTAGTGATAGTATTCTACAATGACTCAGATGTTAAAAAAAGTCCACGATATTATTTAAATGTCTACAATTGATGGAATTTATGCAAAAAATTAAACTAAAGCAAAACAGCAACAAAAGAAATTCCAGCTACTGCTTGAAAAATGGCGTGGAAATTTGTCACATACCTTAAAATTCACTATTCACTGAGAACCTAATGTTAAATATTTTTCTAAAAATGTAATGGACATATTTTGTATTTACAAAGATCTGTAGAACCAGTAATTATAAAAACTAAAATGCTTTTGTAAAAAGGAAGGTTGTTAGACATTGCTTTTACATACATTCACTAACAAATATTTTTATTTAAAACTCGAACACTTCGAAGTGAAGAAACCTCTCTTTATAAGCTTCTTTACCATTACCCTTCCACTCACATGTTTTCTCGAAGAGTGAATTTCAAATGCTTTCTATAGATCGATTACAACTCACACAGTGAAATGCAAAGCAAATGACAGAAGATAGCGTTCATTCTGTATTTTTTTAATGATTCATTAACATTTACTGTTTCTACTTAAAACATGTTTAATAATAACTAGAGATAAAACTTCTGGAGTGCCCTACCATTCATTTAAAAAAAAATCATGAAGTTTGGTTGAGTAGAACGTTGAGACTTCTTTCTAAACGAAAATCATGTTTTCAATAAAAAGATGTTTCGCAATTTTCTAAACGAAAATCTGAATTATAACATAAATGCACTTTGTTTTACGAATACCTGTAGGATCAAGGTCGATTTCGACCTGTGTCTGTAGGAGAATTCTAGCGGCCGGCCGCTCTGATCACTGGTTTTTCGTGGTTTCTTCCATTAATACGACACGAATGCCAGAACAGTGCCCTAACAAACGAGCCATGGGCTGCGCGAAATATTTCCTTCCTCTTGCCCCATCCTCGCTTGCCCTTGAAGACGAATTTCGTGATTAATCCGTCTGTCAATAGAAAAGCATCAAATATCATACACATCTCAAACGATGTGTTGTGTGGTTTCTCGGTATCTTGAAACTTTTCGAGTATAGATTATGTGAGCCAGAAATACCGCTTGAAATGGCTCTTCGTTAATACAAAATTTCTCGCAAGCAGTGCTACATTGTCTCAGAAAATGAAAAGATACTTTGATCTTCATAAATATTCCGACAATCGCTGTTCGTTTAAACTATTAGGGGTCTAAAATTAGGGGTAACACATTAACTGTCAAAGGAGCAACATATTGCTCTCTGTAATAACACGTATGTTCTGTGTACCATTCAGTGGTTCATATTTTGTCTTTTATTTTAGCCCGCGTGAACTGCCTGGTGTATCACATGTAAATTTCAATCTTCTCGTGAGATTTTTAACATCGCAGACAATGTTTTCTATACATTGTATGATAAAGGCGTCCTTACAGTATACTCTTCCATAATCAGTATTTAGGAAAATTGTGTTGGCGATGTTTGAGTCCGTATACCTTTACCATTACCCCCAATGTCACTTACAACGGTCACTTTATGGCCTTAGTAGTTGAAAACCTTCCTTAAATAAATCAAATAATTCAGTAGGGGGCTGTGGCCATAGCCGAAAAATAGTTAAGAGAAATGTGACCGTGCCAAGTGTTCAGTATTATAGACAGTGGCAATCAATATGTTAAGAAAACTTGAAACAATGTGTTATTGAAAAAGGCACAATATCAATAATGAAGAGTATGTCATCAAATATTTTTTATCATAATGAAGAGTATGTCATCAAATATTTGCTAAAGTTTGTTTCTTCAAGAGTTTATTTTAAGAAAAATCTGTATTTGAATCAGTTTGGTGAATATATTTATGCAGAAGATTTTCGAAACATTGATTAGATAAGTATAACAAGACTAGTTTGTAATTATAAATTTTATAACCGTTAAAGTGATTGTAGAACGTCTGTACTTTGTTGAAGTATTATTAATTATAAGAGAACGGAAATAATTTCTGAATGTAACCAAGGGAGGAGGCTTTCGCCAATGTGTACTTCTCTTACCTGGAGGAGCGATCACAGATGTTAGCCTTGGCCTTCCTGTGTAAGACGGGTGGGAGGGCGATTATGAGGTATGATTATCCA